GAGAAGATACATAAAAAGATTATAAGAACAATCCGACAGTGGGTGGATAATAGTATCTACTATTATATAAACAAAGAAGTGAATGCACAAGTTTTGTCGAATAAGTTGAAATATATATATAAGAAAAAAATGTTTGGAATATGACTTTTATCATTAAAAAGCTTATCAATCTGAAACTGATATGGACAATCGTTTGCAGAACACTTTAGGTAAATTTCAAGAGTTGGTAAATGAGTTGACCACAACGAAAATGACTCTAGATGATGAATTGCATGCATTATTGCTCTTGATTTCTTTGCTATACAGTTGAGAAACCTTAGTAATATATCTTAATAATTCTACTCCAAACGGTATTTTGTCTTTACTTGTGGTAATAAATAGTCTGTACAATGAATACACTAGAAAAAAAGGTATGGATATTGAGACTTCATAAACACTTGTTACAACAACAGAGAGTAGGGATAAAAGTAAAAGTAGAAGTCTTAATGGAAATCATAAATCTATAGGTAAATCATAATCGAAAGAAAATTTTAGTTATTGTCGTTGTGGCAAGGAGGGACATATAAAAAAAATTATAGGATTTGAAAAAAAGAACAGAATAATGAGAAAAATTAGAAAAATACATATGATTAGAACACTACTGCAACTATAACTGATGATAGTGAAAAACTAGTTGTACTTTCATTTGTTGAGGATCATAATCACATCACTAATTCTGATATTGAGTGGGTTGTTGATTCTGCAACATTCTATCATGCTACACCTAGAAGAGATGTATTTACTATGTACAAATACAGAAATTTTGATAGAGTGAAGATGATTAATACCAACTATGCAGACATTGTGGGTATTGGTGATATTTGCATGCAGACAAATGTTAGTTGTACGTTGACTCTGAAGAACGTGCGATACGTATAAGATTTACGTCTTAATTTGATTTCTATTAATGCTCTTAACTTAAATGGTTATTACAATCTATTTGGTGGTAGATAATGAAAACTCACTAAATGTCTAATTATGGTCGCTAGAGACAGATTATGTCATACACTTTACAAGACTTAGGTGAATACTATTAGAGGTGCACTGAGTGCAGCTGAAGATGATATTTTATCAGATTTGTGGCATAAGAGGCTGACTCACATGAGTGAGCCAGGGTTGCAAATTTTGACAAAGAAGTCTCTTATTCCCTTTGTCAAATGTATAAGTCTAAACTCTAGTGATTATTGTGTGTATGTTAAACAACATAGAATTTCTTTTACTAACTCATCTGAAAAAAAAGAATGTTCATGCATTAGTTTATTCTTATGTGTGTGATCCTATAGATGTGGAAACCATTTGAGGTAACATATATATTTTTACTTTTATTGATGTGCTTCGCGAAAGATTTGAGTGTTTGTGTTGAAAATAAAAGACTAGTTCTTCAGTATTTTAAGCAACTTCATGCCATAATGGAAAGAGAGAAATGAACATTCTTGAAGTGTTTTTACAGTGATAATAATGGTCAATACACTTTAAAAGAGTTTGAAAATTACTGTCTACAGCATGAAATTAGACATGAGAAGACAGTGTCTAGTACTCCTCAACATAATGGTGTAGCTGGAAGAAGAAAAGTAACCCTTCTTTAAAAGGTCATATGCAGATTGAAAATGGCTAACTTACCAAAGTCATTTTGGGGTGAAGCATTCTACATTTTTTGGTATTTGATGAATCGATCTCCATTAACTCTTTTAAATTTTGGGATTCCTTATAGAGTACAGTCTGGGAAGGATGTCAATTATTTTCATTTGAAGATATTTGATTGCAAGACATTTATACGTGTACGTAAGGATTGGAGGTAGAAGCTTGATGACATGATAATTTCATGTATTTTTTGGATTATAGAGATACAAAGTTTAAGTATAGATTGTGGGATCCAATAAAGAATAAAGTTATCAAGTCTAGAGATGTGTTTTTATTAGCACAAGACTTTGTCAGACTTTGAGACATCAAAGAAAATTATAAGTGAAAATATTCGTCTTCTTGCATTAGTTTCTCTTTCAATTAAAGATTCTACATATGAGGGAGAGTTACATGATGAACAATAGTTCAATGATATGTTAGCACTAAATGATGTTGAGTAGAGAGATTAACTCCGTGCATCTCAGATATTCCAGTTTTGAGTATATTATAGTTATTGAAGAGGGGGAGCTAGAAAGCTTCCAAGAATTTCATAATTATGAAGAAAAAATTCAGTGGTTGAAAGCAATGCAAGAAGAGATGAGTACTTTGAAAAAGAAAAATACCTATGTGTTAGTTGAACTTTCAAAAGGTATAAAGACTTTGAAAAATAATTGGGTATACAAACTTAAGATAGACGGTGAAAAGCTAGTGAAATATATTAGAAGAAAGGAATTGACTTTGATAAGATATTTTCTACTGTTGTGAAGATAAACTCCATTTGAATAATTTTTGGTTTAATTGCTAGTTTAGATCTTGAGCTTAAATAATTAGATGTGAAGACATAACTTCTTCATGGTGATTTGGAGGAAGAAATCTATATGGATAAACAAGAGGAATTTGAAGTCAAAGGGAAAGAACACATGGTTAGTTGAAAAAAAGTTTGTATCTGTTAAAACACGCTCCGAGACAGTGGTACAATAAATTTGATTGTTTCATAGTCAGCCATGATTACACCAGAATAAATGTAGATCCTTGTGTGTACTTCAAGACATTCACAGATAATAAGTATGTTATTTTGTTATTTTATATAGATGATATGTTGATAGTAGAACAAGATATTACATAGATTAGTGATTTGAAAAAGGAATTGTTTGGCTCTTTTGATATAAAAGATTTGGGACTAACATAACATATTTTGGTTATGTAGATTACTCGTGATAGAAAAGCTAAAAAGTTATAGTTGTTATAAGAGAGATGTGTTGAATAGTTTTTAAACATATTTCATTTAAAAAATTCTAAGCAATTAACACACCACTTACAAATCACTTTACACTTAGTAAGAAATTATGTCATTTCACTAAAAAAAAAAAGAAAAAAATGACAATTGTTCCTTACTCCTTTGCGGTTGAGAGTTTGATGTATGCTATAGTTTCTACCTGACCAAATATTGCTCATGTTGTTAGTTTAGTAAGCATATTTCTTTTTAATCCTGGTAAGAGTCCTTGAGAAACAATTAAATATATTTTCAGATATTTGAGAGATATTTCTAGTATGTGTTTATATTTTAGAGGCTCAGAACCAATTCTAAATGGATATATAGATGTAGATATGACAGGTGACCTTGATAGAAAAAAAGTCTACTTCAGGATATATGTTTACTTTTGTAGGAAGAGTTGTATTATGGAAGTCTAAATTGAAAAAATGTGTTATTTTATCTACAACTGAGGTAAAATATATAACTTTGACTGAAATAGGTAAAATAATGCTTTGGATGAAAAGATTTCTCGAATAATTGGGTTTGAAGCAAAATGAGTATGTGATGAATTATGATAGTCAAAGTGCTATAGATTTGAGTAAGAATACCAAATATCATTGTCGAACTAAACATATTAATATGAGATACCATTGGATATGAGATGTAATAAATAATAAAGATATGTTATTAAAAAAGATTTACACTGATAAAAATTCAGCTGATATATTAACCATAACTCATGACAAACATAAGTTTTGCACCAAGAAGATAGACTAATTGGAATTGAGCAATATATGGTGGGCATCTCCTTATGGTCTGAATGGGGAGATTGTTGGTTTTTGTATCCAACCCAAGGCAAATTAGTAAATTAAAAAGAAAAAAAAAACATAAAGAAAATTAGGGTTGCATTTTCCTCTCTTATAAATATATGTTGCATGAAAGTCGAAAAAAAGGACAAAAAAAGCAACACAAAAAAAAGCAAAAAAATTTTGAGTTCTCTCTCACTCTCACGTGCAAAGATTGAGAAGAAAAAAACTTAATTTGTTGTTTTTTGGGAAAAAGAAAAGGAAAAATATTTATTTTTTTACGTGCACGATTTCCAAGATAGAAAAAAAAAGGATTATTTGGTTATCTACATAGAAATCAAGATAGAATTTTTTTTTTTCACAAAGATTGGTAATTTTTTTTGGTTAATTTTTGAATCAATTTTTTGGAGAACTGTTGTATCTAATTATCTTGGTATGATAATTTAAGATATAGTAAATTTGGTTAGAGGAATTTGTGTATTTATTCATAACATTATGTATTTGATCTTTGTGATAGTGGATTTGATTCAGAACTTATCATGTAGTTTTTTTCTCCACACTGGAGGATTTTTCACGTAAATTTTATGTTCTTTTATTTTTATAATTATTCATTTGTTTGTATTGGAATTGTTTACCAATTGATTGACTAGTAAACATTAAATTGGGATTCTCTGAATTAATTTTAAGATTGTCTTAATTTATACAAGTAAATTATAATATTTAAAAGACCCAACATTTAGCATGCTTAACAAAATTAAAAAATACCTAACTAATGAGCTTTATTGGAAAAAAAAAAAGTGTTTAGGTTTAGTGATTTAGGAAATTAAGAATTGTAATTTTTTTTCTTAATTTTAGATTCAATCAAGTTGGTACAAAATTTTATTTTATGGATCTATCTAAATAAATTTATATTTAAAATTTTTAATATTATATAGATAATATGTGACATTTAATTAATACTTAAAACTAATCGAAAAATATTTCGTGTCAAAAAATTTAATAAAAAATATTTAAATTTTTTTAGTGTTAATTTTTATTAACGATAATGAATTAAATTAAATTTTTTTAAAAGTTGTAAAAATTAATTTAAAATAGAAATAGAAATTAACTTAAACAAAAAATAAATAGTACTGTATAAATATATTATTCTAGGAAAGAAAAAAACCACTCTCATGTAAAAGATGGCATTCAGCAGGCCAAGCCATTCTCACACGTGCGGGAGGCAAATGCCCCACGTGCTTGCGGCACATCACGCATAGATACCAAAGGGGAAATATAGCCCCACTGGCCCTAGCAACTCCCAAGCCAGAGAAGCCAACGTCTCTTCTCTCAAAATCCAGCCCTCGTTATTCAACTCCTGTCGCCTGCTTGCAGTCCTCCGTATGCCATAATAAGACAATCTTCCGTTACTATCATTTCTAAACAAGGTAGATTTCGTTTGCTTCTTCTGCATTTTTTCTCATTTTCCTGGTTCTTTCACTCACTTTTCCTCATGCACCTACTCCCGCGTTCTTCTTAAAGCACATTTGCTGTGTCAACTCTAATAACTCTACTTGCAGCTTCAGTTATATCGAAGTAGCGGATTCGAGTATCCAATGCATTAACTGAAGTGCAGATGTTGAAATCTCGAGTTCTTTTGTGATTTTCGATCGGTTTTCTACTACGTTTATGTGCTTGATTTGATTAAGTGATTAGTGGTGGTCTCTTAGGGTTTCGCGTAGGAAAGCACGGCGGTTTTTAATTTGTCGACTTACTTAGGTTAGGATTATAAGGAAGAAGGAAGAAGGAAGAAGATGGCGGGTGGTGCGTGAGCTTTGGACTGTCGAATTTTGTTAACGTGAGGAACGATGTTGTTTTAGGAAGGTTATGGTGTCAGGATGTAGTGTTGGATAGCTTTAGATTCCAGCGTATAGTGAAGGAAACGGCTTTCCTTTTGAGGGCAAATAATTGTAGAAAACGTGTCTTTGTCAAGCAAAAACAGAGGCTTGTCGTCATGAATATGTCCAACTCCGAAGCTGACCCGCACTTCGGGGCGTCAACTACCAGGGTGACAGGAGAGGGAGTTGATCTAATTGTAGAGAAGGATATTGGAATATTTGAAACGGGTAACGAATTGAAAACCGGTGACAATGGTACTGGTGGGGATGTTTATGATGGAAATGGTGGAAATGGAAAATTTAATAATGGTGGAGGAGGGGGTGGTGGTGGTGACGAGGAGAGAGATGATCCTGAAGAAGAGGAGTTTGGGCCAATTATGAAATTTGAAGAGGTAATTAAGGAGACGGAGGCTCGAGGGGCCACTCTTCCTTCCGATATGTTAGAGGCCGCTAAGAGTGTGGGGATTCGCAAAGTGCTTCTTCTTAGATATTTGGACTTGCAGGTACTTTTGATTTAAATATCAGCATTTCTTGTTCTGGTATGGACACTGCCGATAATCATCTTTCTTGTAGTAGTGTAGACAATGCTATTTTTCTTCCTCTTCAGCAGTGTCATGACATGATGGTTTTATGTTTGCATTTTAGGGAGCTAGCTGGCCTTTGGGATTTGCAATGAAGTCATGGGCTATGCTCCGGAACAGAATGTTAGCTGATCCCTCTTTTCTTTTCAAAATTGGGACAGAGGTTCGTGAAAACAGTTTAAAAAAATTTGATAAAGAATACTTAGTTGATCAATATGATATTGTGTTGAATTTGGAAACTGTTAAGTGAATAAATATTGACATTGATCTCTACTGTGCTCCTAAGGGAAAAATGCTATCATTTTTGTATGATTTAAGAGCTGCAACATGTTTAATTGTGGCGATCTTATGCAAGTTGGCATTGATCAAATCAGATGCTCAACATTCATGTAGCATCTTAGGGTCTAAGAGAAATTTTGATGTGCTTGGTTATTGGCATTATCAATCTTGCAGTGCATAAAAATGACCAGCTCTGGCTTTATTCAGTGCAGATAGTCATTGACTCTTGCTGCGCTACTTTTGCGGAAATTCAAAAAAGAGGGAAGGACTTCTGGGCAGAATTTGAGTTGTATGTTGCTGACCTCTTGGTTGGGTTAGTGGTTAATGTGGCCTTGGTTGGTATGTTGGCACCTTATGCTCGTATTGGACAACCGTCTGTGTCAAAAGGGTTCTTTGGACGCGCGCAGCATGCTTATGCAGCTCTTCCTAGCAGGTTATGAGTTGTTGCTAAAAGTTATTTGAACTACTACACTTCGCCCACTCCCCCCCCCAACCACACACAAAAAAAGAAACAAATCAGTGCATTTAACTATATGAAGCTGGAAAAAAATTTAACTTCTCAGACTGGATACATCTTAATTTTCTTATTGTACATAATTATATGTTTGTCTATGATAATCACATTGCCTTCTTATTTCCTTATTATGATGTTAAGAAATGTATAAGTCTTTGAAAATATTGACTTTTACAGTGTATTTGAAGCTGAAAGGCCAGGATGTAGATTTTCAATAGGTCAGAGAATCGCAACATACTTCTATAAGGTATTGTTTTTGCTTTTTTTTGGTATGCTAACTGAAAATTTCTTGGTGGATGATTATCTAGATTTATCAATTCTGTTTGCAGGGTGTCTTGTATGGATCAGTTGGATTTGCATGTGGCATTGTAGGTCAAGGCATTGCAAATCTTATCATGATTGCCAAGGGTATACTTCTACAGACATCTGTTGTTTTCTTTAAAACTCCCTCTTCAACTTTCCTGGTGTTTTCTTCTTCTGAAATATCACCTACTCTTGGAGGTTATATTTATTCTTATTTTTAAGAAACCTCAGTAAGGAAAGCCAAATAATCATCCAGTCTTTAGTTGTGGAAAAATTGAATGTCACTGAACAGCATGCCATGTTTGCCACATAAGACTAATGTTAATCAATCATGAGTTCAAAGAGTTGAATGAGAAGGAAATTATCAGAGAACAAAAGGTTCGGTAATGCAACATTGTAAAACTAAAGAAGGTTTGATGCATTTATGCTATGAGGCTATTACCTTCTTTGTCCTTTTTTCTTTTATTTGTGTGGCTTTCGTAGTGCAACAGTGCAACATTCTGTTTGCTTCACATTTCAGGAGCATAAAGAAATCAGAAGAGGATATACCTGTGCCACCTCTTGTAAAGAGTGCAGCTCTTTGGGGTATGCGTTTCTCTGCCTTACTCCTTTCCTAAAATTTCTGTATTTAGATGATGAAACAAGATGGTTTTTGATTAACTGGTATGGAAGCCAAATCTGATTATTTTCTCCATAATCTGAGGTTTTTTGTGTTGCAACTCTTCATTTTGGATGTTCATTGAACGATAAGTCCTCTTTCTTTCCTTTGCATTTTGTCGGTCCCAGATTTATTCAGTTAAATCAGCAATAGGTTAAAACTAACTTTGCACTTCATCTTAGGTTTGTCTCCAGATGAGCTTATCTTGTGGTTGTAATTTTTTCTTTGCACGTTTTCCTCCCCAGATTTATTCAGTTAAATCAGCAATGATCATCTCTAGTGGTTTGTTGAAAACTAAACCTTAGTTTATGAGAGATAAAAATGTAACATTTCCAGTGTGGTTCTATTATTTTGTTCACCTTTCGTAAATTCTAGATGCATAATAATTGACAGCAACATTTGGAAGGTCGGCAACTAATGGGACATACAACAACCTTCTATGGGCAGCAATTTCCTGATGCTATGATAACAGTTTTCTATTTCTTTCTTTCTAAACAGAAAAAAAAATCTTAATCTTTTTCATAACAGAGGGAAAAGCCAGGTATCTGCCAGAGAATTATTTTGGTCTGTTATTCTGTTTGATAATTTTTGTACTTAGAGTGCCTTTCGCAGAATGGTAGTTGGAATAATTGGGTCTGGTGACAGTGGTTAATGGGTATCACACATTGTAATGTTTGAAGTCAAGCATCATACACATTTACTACATTA